TTTAAATAAAAAAAAAAAAAAAAAAAAAAAAAATATATATAGATATATATATATATAAATAAACACTGAAGCAAAACAAACGTTATTCAAAAGTTTTGGGTTGGTAAGATTTAGTTAATGTTCGAGACAAGTCTCCTTTGCTCACTAATGGTGCATTTATTTAATCAAAAATTTAGTCAAAATTGTAATATTGTGAAATATGATTAAAAATGTAAAATCTATTTTAATATATTTTAAAATGTAATTTATTCCTGTGAAGTAAAGCTGGATTTTCAGCATCATTACTCCAGTCTTCAGTGTCACATGATCCTTCAGAAATCATTCTGATATACTTTGCTGCTCAAGAAACATTTATTTTTATCAATGCTGAAAACAGTTGTGCTGCTTCATATGTTTGTGGAAGCTGCAAAACATTTTTTTTTCACCAGATTCTTTGATGAATAGAAAGTTCAAAAGAACAGTATTTATTTTAAATAGAAATATCTTGTAATATAAATATCTTTACTGTCACTTTTGATCAATTTAATGCATCTTTGTTGATTATAAGTATTAACAATTACTGACTCCTAATTTTGAATGGTAGTGTATATATACTAATACTCAGCAAAAGGCTTTAAAAAAATGTAACACCCACTTGTCATTTCAGAAATAATTCATTCATGTTTGATGTTTTGGCAGTCTCCAAGGCCAAATTTGCATATTATAAAGCATTTCCAGCATTAGTATATTAGAATGCCATTCTGAAGACCTGAGGTATGAACACTGTCTGCTTCTGCTGTTAGTGAGGCTGAGGCTGAGGCTGTCAAGTTCTTATTCTAGAAACACTAAACAGTGTGAGAGAAAAAGATTTAGTAGATGATAAATCTCATTTTCACTCCAGCGCTTGGCTTCTCAAATAGCGAGCTCTTGTTTTTTTTTTACCCCTACAGTAAGGATTAGATGTCTTCTAGCCAGGAGAAGGAGACAGTCTGAGAGAGAGAGAGACAGCAAAAGAGACAAAGAACAAAGACAGATGGAGGCAAAGTGGTTGGAGATTATATACTATAATATGAGACTTGGATAAGTACATCCCAAATCATAGTAATTTGAAAATAGTACGCTAAATGGATACTATTTCCAGTGGGGTTTTTTTGAAGTCTCAGTGGGGTTTTGAAGTTTGAAGTCTCACAGAAGACGTCAAGAGTGTCCATGACCTGATGCTTCTTTTTCAACTTACATTTGAGATGAAAACTGTGAATGGATTTCTATTTCAAATAAATACTGTTCTTTTGAACTTTCTATTCATCAAAGAATCTGGTTAAAAAAAAAATGTTTCACAGCTTCCACAAACATATTAAGCAGCACAACTGTTTTCAGCATTGATAAAAAAATTAATGTTTCTTGAGCAGTAAATCAGCATATTCTGAAGGATCATGTGACACTGAAGACTGGAGTAATGATGCTTAAAATTCAGCTTTGCCATCTAGGAATAAATTACATTTGAATATATATTCAAACTTGAATAAATTGAAATAATATTTCACAATATTACTGTTTTTTTTACCATATTTATAATCAAATAAATGCAGCCTTAGTAAACATAAGAAACTCGCAAAAACATTTTTAAAAAATTCACCAACCCCAAATTTGATTGGTGTGTATATTTATTTTATACATTTATATTTATTTAAAAATACTTTGACAAAAGTCATTGATGATTTTAACAGAAAAATGTTTTCTGAGACAGGAGCAGAAGACTAAGCTGTCACCAAACCCATCTGCCGTCTTTCAAAGCAAATCCAGGATCTTCAACATATGATCCATCAACGCTCCCCATATAAAGAGCCACATTCACGTCTGATTCAGCCTTTCACTAGAAGAGGAGACAATTTTAAAAATGTATTGTCGAGAGACACCTGAATATTGAGAAACTGAAGTAATTCTGAGAGACTAGGATCGTCAGAGGAGAAGAATACCAGAGGATGAATAGAGACGGGTTCAATGCAAGAGCTTGTGAAAAGCAAAATCAGTAAAATAGAATTCTCTAAATCATTCCACTGAGGAAACTACAAAACCAGAGGAATTTTTGCTGGAAATTTACACAATGTAAAATCTATGCAAGAGAATGTATGCTTCAAATGTCAACCATCTACTAGAAGGATGTTTGTAATACACTTCAGATTTAAGAGTGATAGAAAGAGTGTGTGACTGGGAAAGTTTTCGGGCCTCAATTTCTGCTGAATGAATATCTGCATGTTTTTTTAATTGACTGAATATGCAACATGTTTACAAACATGTTTAAAAATGAACAAAACGTAATCTGGTGTCTTGGTGTGTTTATCCTGTACAAGCTTAGTTAATGATATGATTTTGTATATAGTGATGTTGGTCTGCCAGTATTGATCTGTTAAAATCTGCCTGAGGATGCCGGGTGCTTCTAATCACCATTTTCATGCTCCAGACCCTGCTAGCCCTTTATGAAACCCATATAAAGACTAAAATATTATGAATCTTTCACTGTTACTGAATTGGGGGCTGTGCAAGTATCTTGTAAATTCAGTTTAGAGATAAATGGGGAAAATCCTTAGGACAAACTGTTTCAATAAAAATGACATTCTTTAAATTTACTTCCACATTATTTGACTAAGAGCGGATTAATCATTCTAAACATCTTACAAATAATTGTAATTTTAAAAATTTACATTGTCTTGTAAGTTACCTTACAAAAAAAACATTTGTGGACAATTTTGGAAAAATTCACTCAAAAACTGATCAGGAAAAAAAACACTGTGCTAATTGAAAGAAAATAAGTTAATAAAAAGAATGAATCCAATCTTTGGTAATAGTATAGCATAACAAAAAAAAAATTTGTAAACAATTTTTGGTAGGCTGGTAAAAAAAAACAAAAAAAACAACAAAAAGTAAATCTATTTCTGAGCCCTCGAAAGCCCCCTGAGCCCTATCTTGTTATTGTTTTGCTATGTGACATTTTAATTGTACTGCCAGTTGCAAAAAGAATAGAACAAATCCGGACAGCTGGATCCATCTTAGTGGCAGACTGACCATTTTTAATACAAGAATAGCTATTTTGTGATACACAATATGAAAGAAAAACATTCAGGAGTTTGGTTAGACAAGTGAAGATTTTAACACTGAATAAACACACACAGCAATACATTCTCTCCCATACACACAAACACACCAGACACTGATGCTAGCTGTATGACACGAAGTAGCCCACCAAACCAGAGGACACAATAGTTTGTTTTAGCAAATACACAAATGCCTCCTGTCAATCTGCACATTTTCCTCAATGCCCCCAAATGACACACAAAAAAAAACTTCCACACTCACTGAAGTTTAATCCTTCATAAATCCCACAGCGGTACGAAAATGATTCATAAGAAAACAACATGATTAAGACTTTTCTTAGACATTCTTTGCCCTAGTGTGAAACTAGTGAAGACGTGCGACTCAAAATTGACATTTAATCTGAATGAGACGATCAATTAAGACTTGTTAAAAAGATAATGAATGGATGATTTCACATATAACTAGTCAACTTCTCCGAACAAATCCTGCTCGATAATGACATATCAGAACAGAAAAACAGTACGGTTAACTGTTCAGTGGCTCATTTAATGTGTATTTCTGGTTCAAGAAATACCCAAAACTGAATTTCTGTCATTATTTACTCAACACCATTTCAAACAACATGAAGGTGAGAAAATCATTCCAGAAAAGTAATTTTTGGGTGAACTATTCCTTTAAGACTAAGACAGCTGTCAACAGCAAAGCAGGGTCATGTGATCCTGGGTTTTCATTTGCAGAGATTGAGGGTCACAATCAAAGTAGAATAATAGAGCAGACTGTACCTGCTCATTAACACTGTACTGTAGTTATTGTACTGACGGTTGCATATACTGGACCAGAGTTCATAAATATCACAGAATTCATAAAGGAAGCATGAAAATCAAATAAATAGACTGATGTAGCCATACGAAACAAATGCTGTTCAGACTGCGTATCAAGCTCTGTTTGGGTTCAGTACCCTCATATAAAACGCAGCTGTTGTTGTAAAAATGGCTGACTTCTATTATGACACCGGCAAGTAAGAGGGCATTTGCACCTGTGATTGGTCAGCCCTTGCACATTCTCTACCTTTACATAATGTGAGGGGAGGAGTCAGTAAATGACAGTCCACCTGTCCTTCTGTGGTCAGATGCCAAGGAGTGAAGTTAGTCAGCATGGCCTTCATCCTTCACCATGATGCCCATGTACCTACCGGAGACAAGAGTTTATGGCGAGGTTTAAAATAAGTGAAACTGCAATAATAAGGATGCATTTCCATGACATTTCAAAAGTTGGTTAAGATTTTTAAAGAAGAATTTGTAAAAATCATATTATAGATATTGCACCAAAAAGGGGTATTTAGAGCCAATGAAATATTTAAATGCTGAGCATAACTATTTAATAGAGACATTTCCGTGCCTTTTAATTTTATTTAATTGTTTCCATATTTTTCCAGGTTGTTCAAGACCATGGGAACTCTGATGATAGTTGCTGAAAAGCCTAAAATGAGGATGAGCAAAATTACCTATTAGTCAGAAAATCACAGGTGGGAATAGAGCTAATGGCCTGATGCAAGTCCATAGCCGATATCTCTCTCGGAGTTCTGTGGAGACAAGAAGAGAGGGATGAAACAAGGATGGGAACGAGAGAGAAAAGTCTCACGGTACATTTGCTATCTTGGTATAATGGGTTATTGACCTTTGAGCATTAAATGTGAGGTCTGAGAGTTTTGTCAAACTGCTGCTTTCTGTTAATGTATGAGACTTCGATCAGTTCCTGCTTGACTGATCATCATTTAAAACGGTGCTCTATAAAAGGCAGTTACCGAATATTGTATAAAAGGCTGATGAAATATTCTGCTCAATCTGTGTGTGTGTGTGTGTGTCAGGCGTGTGAATGAAAGCAGATGTGCTGAGTAAGTAGAGCAGGACTGAGCCAATCTCTTCTCTCTCAGGGCTGGGCTCTGCTGCTCTACATCTCAAATAAATCAGATTTTCATGAGCTATTCTCAGTGCTCTGATAATTATATACTATCATAAAGCACTTCCTCCCACAATCACGATCAAATCACATTAGACAAAGTTCAATGCTCAGAGTTCTTCAAAACTGACCAAGAAATAATGTTCCAAGCTCTATCTGTAAAGAACAGAAGAGTGTTTGAAACTACTCTTTTACTCTGAATCATGCTGGTCTGCCCATCTGTCTTGATTAATCTTCTACTGGCATACAGGCTGATGCACTGACCTGTTTTGTTGGGATTTCCCATGGGCATTGGCCAAAGACTCCCTGAGGATTTCACTGGCAAACTGCTCCACAGCCTATGGAGAGATTTAGACAACATTCAGCACTTTGACATGTTAAGAAATTACATGTTAAGAATGCCCTACCCAGGACAAAAAAAATAAATTGTTCTCACTGAAGGTAAAGAGAAAAATGAATCAGAACATATTTGATGCTTAATAAAGAGCTATGTGGAGTGGTATTTAAGACCAATCAGATTTCAGAGTGGGAGGGGCTATCATTCACCATGGTTAGAACAAAAATGTACAAGTTAGTAAATAGTGCAAAGGCCCGTTCACACCAAGAACTCTAACTATAATGATGACTACATTACGATAAAACTTTATAGTTAACATTCTGGATGTGAAATTTTCTTTCATAAAATAAAACAATTTACTCAATCTCAGACTATTTACCTTAAGAATAATGGTCTCCACGACTGGAGCAAAAATGTTCTTCTCCACCTCCACCTGCTGCAGTGTGACGCCGATCTAACACACACACACACACAAACACACACACACACACACACACACACACACACACAATATCATTACTAGCGCCCGACCAATATATCGTTTTGCCGATTTTATCGGCTGATATCAGCCTGTCGCAGATATATCGGGATCAGCGTATATGCCGCCGATATGAAAATGTTTTACAGAACATAAAATGCAGAATGAATGCATTTAAATGCTTTAAAGCTTAAGTGTATGGAATAGGCTACCATTGAAAATTCGTCGATAGCCCCCAGGGTTCAGGAGTTACGGGCAGTTAAAGTTGCGGTTGCGCGCCGACCGATCTGGCGATCCCGGGGGGCTACCGACGCACGGAGGGCGGCGTTCGAGAAGGCTCCTTGAGCTGAAGGGATCCACCGAATTTGGTGGAGATCTGCCGTCGCGTTTACGAGATAGTGACACCAGCCAACCCTTTCACTTCATTAAGGAGGTCTCTTGTGCAGGCAGCAGCATTCAAGCTGTGTCTTAACGGTAAATTGCTAAATAATTTGTGCGGTGGTGGCTTGAGTCTGTTGAATGGGGATTTAGTGCTACGTTGTCACCTAGTTGGTGAGATGCAAAAGCAGCGGTTCTTAATCCAGTTCCTCGCAACCCCCCGCTCTGCACATTTTGTATGTTTCTCTTATCACTTCAGAGGTTTGTTCTATATTAAGTGCCCTGCGAAGTGGACTTCACTGGATATTCTGCCATGATTCCAGTTCAAAGGGAAAGTGCATGTTACATTCAAAGGGCATTAAAGTGTGCGAGACGTAAATTTAAATAGTATTTATTTACAGAGTTACATAATGTCACACTTCTAAGTTTCGTCTGCGTGTGAAGACAGTGGCGTAACGCAAATCCGTAAATGAATGTTCCGAAGTGAAATAAACTTCAACGGAATAAAGTTTAATGGAATTGTATTGAAATAAAGTTGAATAAACTTCAACTTTACTGTTCAGTGCACTGATGTCAGACTCGTTTTGGATAATAAAGTGTA